TGTGTGTGTGTGTGTATGTGTGTGCGCGCGCGCGCGCGCGCGAGAGAGAGAGAGAGAGAGAGAGAGAGAGAGAGAGAGAGAGAGAGAGAGAACAAAAAAATGACATAAAGGACGCGTGGTCGTTCTCTGTGTTGGTGTCATTCGTGGTAGCAGGGCAGATGACATTATTTGTTTAAAAAATTGTTATTGCAACTCTGTAATACATGTTTAGCTTTAGATTCTAGTTAGAGTTTCACGGCACTTGCAACACAATTCAGTCATATCAATACCGAAGATTATCGGCGCTACAAGAGAGTAACATGCAAGGAAAAGAAGTAGATGACTAGTTTTAGTGAGAGTTTTAGGCCTACGTCACGGAACGTGTAACACAATAAGGTCATATAATGTATAAGGTTATTAGTTTTAGTAAGCGCTTTACGGCACTTGCAACACAATAAGGTCATACAAGTGCCGAAGATTTCAGGTGTTAGAAGAGAGTAACATACAAACAGGGTCTATATAATAATATTATGTTTGATAGTTTGAGAGAAGCACATCGACACTATGGTTGTCATTTAATTGTTTTAGTAAAAGTTTTACGGCGCTTGCAACTGCATAAGTTCATGTGAGCGCCAGAAGATTAGAGGTGTTACAAGAGAGTAACAAACATAAAAAAGAAGGAGGGGAGAAAAGGACGATAGACGTCTGATAGGAAAGAAGAAGCAAACCACACCAGAGCACCCGCCAACCACCCACCTACAAGAAAATAACATAAAAATTACAAATAAAAGAAGGAAGTGAGATAGGGACGATAGATGTTTGATAGGAAAGAAGAACTAGACCACACCAGAGCACACGCCAACCACCCGCCAAGATGAAATTAAGGCCTCGGAACCCTACTCGGGACTCGAACTCGTATGTTCCGGATACTGCAGCGAAAAGTCAAACTGTTTCACCATACACGAGAGCAAATTTTCCAACATATTTAATCTATGTTATTAAGTCAATGTATTTCTCTCTATTCTAACAAACAAACACACACTCAAACAAACAGACACACACATACACACACAGTGAATGGTTTCAGGGCGGTACTGACAGGTCCCACTTCTTTATTACTGTGTTAATATATTTCTTTTTACTCCTCACACACACACACACACAAACACACACACACACACACACACACACACGTACACACACAAACACACACGCACACACACACGCGCACACACATACACACGCGCACGCACACATACAC